CCTCTGTGTTCCCTGGGGCCTGCGACTGGACCACAAAGCCCCAGGGATCCAGAGAAGTCAGCCTGGGAAACCCAGATTCCTGGGCCACYAGGAGCCACTGCAAGGGGGACCTGAGCTTTTCAGGAACCCATTGCCCCTTGGCTCCGGCCTCTACGTGCCCAAGCCCCTTCCAGGAGCTTCTCTGGCTTGAGGGAAGGTCCAGGCTCCCCGGGGAACTCGTCTGAGAGCATCAGGCTCCATCCCTTCCCAGGACAACCCTCCCCCGGGAATCCAGGCCCGTCAGCGGCGACGTTTCCCAAGGACGACTCCCAAATAAATGATTTCAGACTTAACAGAAGCCGCTTAATAAATTCCACTCTTGGAGTTTCTTTGGGTATTTTAGAAACTGATTTATACATGCACTATCTCTCTCAAAATGAGACAATCAACACGGGATGAAATTATTGAGTCATGAAAATAGGGGTCAGATGGAGGTGCCGCGCTTTAAATTAAACCGGCAAAATATATCTTTCATACTAAATTGACTCTTTTTGTCTTGGAAATGAATGTTTAATCAGTTAAGACGCCCAAGTCGAGGGAGAAGCCTTGAGCATATTTAATTTTGTAGAGGGACCCGATTCCAGTACTGCGCATGAGTCCTGCTGGCAGCCATATCTTTAAGGGAGAAGGGCCGACATCACATGGGCCAGTGAGGCCGAGCCAGCGGGCAGGGGACCGGAAGGAATGGGTGGCCTCTGCGGTCTGAGCCAAAGGGGGTCCTGGCATTTATGAGATGACTGGCCTTGTCCCTCTCTGCAGGAACAACATCTCTGGCACATGGCACTCTGTGTCATACTACCTGGCACACCTTAGCATCAGGGCGTCCTCTGAGCCACCTGCAGCAGGACTGCACCATCCCTCAGACACCGGGTGAAATTAGAAAGTGGCCAGGAGGGGACCCAGCTGGGCTGGAATTCAGGTTTTACTGTTTAAGAACCCGATGGCATTAAATCACTCATAAAGTACTTCCAGAACCCATTCTGTGTCAGGCGTCACCTCCTGTATGGAGTGATAATGACAGTTTCTAAGGGGTACCTGCTGACCCTTGACTATGCTAAGCACTCCCAGGGCCTACTAGTACTCATGGTACTGAGTGTTCCCACTGTACAGATGAGGTGGTAGAGGCACGGATTAGACTTTGTATCCTTGAACTCATTAGAATACTTGTACTCCTTTGATCATGTTTCCTCCCTGCAAAAGGCAGAGCCTCCAGTTAGGAAGCGATAACCCCACATCTGAGCTGGCACCCAGAGCACCGTACCCTGACCCTAGTAMAACATTGCTTCATTTTTTAGAAACAGGGTGTATTAGTCAGCTTTGCATCACTATAACAAAATACCAGACACAGGTGACTTACGAAGAAAARAGAGATTTATTTTAGTTCACAGTTCTGGAGGCTCAAATCCAAGATGGAGGGGGCCACATTGGTTAGGTCTCTGGCAAGGGCAGCCCCTCAAAGTGGGAGGGGGCACAAGAGCAGTGGTTACATCTTGAGCCAGGAAACAGAGAAAGAGAGGAAGAGACCAGGGTCCCACAATCCCTTTGGAGGGCACACCCCCAAGAATGTAAGGACCTCCCACTAGGTTCCTTCTCTTYAAAGCCCATAGCACCTCCTAATATGCCATCTTGGGGACCAAGCTGGATACTGCCTGGGGCCACCACCCATACTCAAACCATAGGGTAGCCTTCGCTCCATCTACACAGAGTTCCTCTGACGTCTTATAACAGCTCCTGAGCCCAGAGCACTGGCTAGTACCTTGTAGGTGCTCAATATGGAACAATGGCTGGTACCAACCTAGTAGGTGCTCAATAAAGGAGCCTGTATTAGGTTTAAAAAAAGTTCCACTTCCACTAAGATAACAGGCCCTAATCCTGGGAACCCATAAGTGTCACTGTATTGGAAAAAAAGGGTCTTTGCAAAGGTGACTAAGTCAAGGATCTTGAGATGGAAAGATGATTTTGGCCTAGCCCTAAATGTCATCACAAGTGTTCTTAGAAGAGGGGCAGAAGGGCATCCACTGACAGAAAAGAAGGCAGTGTGGGGTGGAGGCCGGGACCGGAGAGACCTGGCTGCAAGCCAGGAGTTACAAGAGGCGAGGACAGATTCTCCCCCAGAGCCTCTGGAGGAAGTGTGGCCCTCCTGGTACTTCATTGCAGCCCAGGGTCCTGATTTGGGAGCCTGTGGATTTGCAGTCATTTGAGCAGCTACAGAAAACACACTCCCCTGCCTCCTCCGAGCCTCCGTCCCCTGGGCTGAGCCCTCCCGGCTCCCCGCTCTCAGTGGAGCAGGCCTGCACTGGCTCTTGACACCCAGCAGGTGCTAACACAAATCCCACATCACCCGGGCAGCAGGCGTGACACCCAGGGACATCCCCTTCACCCTGCAGTTCCCACGAGTTTAACAGTCTGTCATGAGGGGCCTCTCGCCTCTTGGCCAGACAGACCCAGCGTTCAGCCCCATGTTCTTATCTGGCTTCCCAGTTGGCGCAGGCCTCTCCCGGTAATAGGGTCGGCTTATCTTTCATTACATAACGAGCRAGTATAAAATCCAGCGAACCCTTGCAAAGTCAGGCTAATGGAAGAATTAAGGCCATCTGAATGGAGGAAGCATCCGAAACGTGAACTCGTTATGGAGAAATCTGGAAACGACTACCAAGTGCCTGTTTGGATGGAGCCCAACACAAGCATTTCTCGAAGGAGGGGTTATCTTTGATAAATAGATGACATGCTTTGTAATTATCTGAGCTTCTATTACCTGGGGTCCTACAAGTGCACCTGGGAGTTTCTGCAACCTGTTCCTTTGGGTAAAGGAGATTAAAGAGGGCTGGGGCCACTCCACTACAGCAGGAGCTTGTTTTTATTACTAATAATAACAATAGCAAATACTCCCTGACTCTTCACTCCCCGCCAGACATTTACTAAGACTTTGCAAAGTACATTATCTCAGATGGGCTTCAGTAGGACCTGGGGGCAGGGCTGTGATCATTCGGCCCAGAGGTGCAGCCAGGATTGATCTTCTGTCCACGCACTAACCACACCCCACGCCGTCTCCCTGAGCCACCAGCACGTGAGCCGGCAACCAGGACTGCAGCCGTCCCCACCCCTGCACCGCAGCTCTCCTAACAAAGGTGTCCACCTGCTTCTGTCCTTGTTTGTGTGACCATAAATCCTGAACAGAGGTGGTCTGGAGGAGTGAGGGTCTTGTGGGTAAGTCAGCTGGACAGCAGCTGAGGTGTCCACCTGCGGCTGAGGTGGAATTAAGGTTGTGGACCATGGAGTCTGAATGGGAAGGTCTCTTAGAAGCAGCAGCCGAGGAGCTGCATTATGGAAAGTCCCCAAAGGAGAGTGTCCCCTGAGAACAGAGCATCAGTTTTCACTGAGCTCTTTAGGGAGAGCGGACCCAGAACACGTGGGTCTTGAGGGGGCTCCCCCTTCTCCTTTTACCTCTCACCTGGCGTCACGAACCAAACCAAACCAAACCGTGAGTGGCTTCAACCCAGAGTCCACCGGGAATTTGTTGGCAATAAAAGAGTCAACGATTAAGAAATGCAAGAGAGTTCAGATGGTCAGCCAACGAGCGGRGTCTAGAGGTCCTAGACCACACTGAGCCACAAACTGGGCTGTGGCTTCTGAGCAGCCACTACAGAGGTGGACCCATCCCACCCGACACCGCGGGGCTCTGAGGGGAAAGTCAAGCAAGCAGCCCCTCCTCCTGCCCCCGGGGTGTGCGTGCGTGCGTGACCCAAGCTGACAAAAGCCTCCCAGGACACAGTGGCAGGTCAGTGTCGCTCRGTCATGGCGGTCCCTGGGAGACAGGGGCCTTCCGGAGACATGAGGACTGTGCTGGAAGCCATCAGGCCTGCTGTGTGGACGCAGGCATGCAACGGGGCCCTAAGGACACAGCTGGAGTTCCTGGATTGAGCYATGCCTGAAACCCTTTGTCCACCCTTGGGTATTTCAGGCTTTTTTTTTTTTCTTCAGTTAGTATGAATTTGGTTCCTGTTGCTTAAAAATGAATATACAAGAGTTCTGACTAATATATAGATATACCTACTGTTAGCTGTGAAATGGGGGGAAAAAGCAAAAACAGACTCAAATAAGTTGTTCAGGAAAAGTTCTAGAATTCCCTTATGGAGACTTTTCCATTGGACCAAAAAAGACCTAGTGACATTCTATCCACCTGGATGGGTGAAGGCAGCATTCATGCTAAGGAGACACAACCCCAGAATCCAGGCCATGGAGACCCAGGCTCTGCTCAGCCTTCACCTCCTCTTTCCCTCCTCGACTTCAGGCCTTGCCCTCCACCCTGAGGAAGAGAAGGAGCCACAGGCTGCCCCCGCACAGCACACGCACCTAGTCATCTTCTCTGGTGCGTGCTGTTCCCCCAGCCTGGGAGACCCCTTCCTGCTAAGACTTTGCGTACATGAACTTTACTTTGGTAATCACCCTCTTTCCTGGCTGTTTAAGCAAGATACAATTAAAAAAAAAACACAAACACCAAAACCTGATTCCACTTACATAAAATGTCCAAACTGGGCAAATCTATTGAAATAGAAAGTAATCAGTGGTTCTCAAGGACTGGGGGTACAGCTTTCTTTTGGAGGGTGATTGTCTAGATAGTTCTATGACCATATACACAGGAAGAGCTACACTTTAAATGGGTAGATGATATGGTATGTGAAATGTACTCCAGTAAAGGCTGTTAAAAATTGTTAAATGAGATCATAGTATTAACGAATAATAAAACAGATCCCAAGGTGTTATAAACAGAGCCCAGAAGTGAGCCGAGTGATGAGTAAGTTTCCCTCGGTGCCGCCCCGGCTTCTGCAGACTCCCATAGACGACCAACGGCACCCACACCCTGCCAGGGAGCAGGACTCTCATCACAGCTGGATATTCTGCTTCTCTCGACCGGTGTCCCTGCCATGAGTGAAGGAAGCATGGCAGGAGGTAGGACTCACCGTGGGCAGCTGGCCTGAGAGCAGATGGCCGTCCTGGGCCAGCATGTTGGACACCATGATAGCCGGGAGGTCCATGGCCTGGTAGGAGTAGGCAGGGAGAAGACCGTTGGGTGTAAGCCCGTGGCACAGCGAGTGGTAGCTGGCTTCGTGGTCCCCCAGGTGCAGGAGAGATGGCTCAGGGAGGTTGGGAGGTGTTATCGGAGGGATCTCATAGTCTTCGTTGCTCTCACTCTGGCTGTTATAGGTCTAAAACATCAAAAGGGCACGTTGGCGGGGGGTCAGTGTCTTAAAACTGCAGAACACACTCAACACCACCATAATAACAACCCCTTGGCAGAGAGAAGGGATGATTCTTCTGCAAGGCAGAGGGTCTAGGTGGCCCCCTGACTTGGAAAGACTCCTGCTCCATCCCAAGCAGATGCTCCCTCCCACCAGAGGTTCCACACACAAAAGCCTGCTCTCCTGGAGAACAAGACTGGCTCCTGTCACCTGCTTCCTTCTGTTTGCCCCTCAGAACCAGCCACCACAGCCCACCCAAGATYTACCTTTCCACAGTCACCCATTTTACAGACTGGGACCCCAGGCTAAGAAGGAAAACGGACCATCCAAGTCAGCAGAAGAGCTGGGAATGGAGCTGAAGCACCCAAGCCCTGTCCAGTGGGCTTTCCAGGCAGCTGGATGCTTTTCTCTTACAAGTTCCCAACAGCCAGCCCAACCCCGGCCTCTCTCACGTGCCCCTGTCTTAGCAAATGGGACAAATGTTCCTCTAGAAGAACAAAGGTGGAGACTAGGGGCAATGCTGGCCACCTTCTTTCCAGTCCTTATTTGTGTATTTTTCTGGCCTTGCTGAGCTGACCAGGGACACCCAGGACACTGGTGAACAGAAAGGCTGAGCGTGGACATGCTTGCTTCTCCCTTGTCGTTATGGTCGCGATATTTTACTGAAAAGTACGATGAGCTTGCACTTCTGTTTTTTAACTTTGAGACGAGGTCTTGCTAAGTTGCCGAGGCTGGCCTCTGACTTGCCATCCTCTTGCCTCACCTCCTGGGTCACTGGGATCATGGACATGTGCCACCGTGCCCAGTCTAGCTGAGTTTTTTTTTTTTTTTAATTGTGCATTGCTTTTTAAATTTTATCAAATTCTTTCCCTCTGCCTCCACTGAAAGGCCCAAGTGACCCTCCTTTTTAAATTCAGTTAACTTGGCTGGCAAATGACTTTTTCTCCTTCGTTCCTCTTAGGTCAGGAAGCAGTATTCTTTCTATGCACTTTAGATTTTGTTGGCTGACAATCTGTTTAGGACTGTTGCATCTGGTTCACAAGTAAAATTGGCCTCCATTGTCCTGTCTCATGATGCCCTTGGTGGGTTTGGGTGTCCTAGTTGGTCTGGGGATTTATTCTCCCTTTTCCATTTTTTTAAAAATATATTTTTCTATTCTTAGACTTAGCAGAAAAGGGATGTCTGAGTTGGAAGACAGATCCCGGAACCATCCAGAATTCAGCATGGAGGGACAAAGAAGACACGCATGTCACAGAGATCACATGCAGACATGACAGGTAAGAGTGGGTATGGTCATCCGTTCAATTGACATTCTGGAGAGAAGAGAATGAGAAAATGAGCCAGAGGAATAGCTGAAGAGGCATGAGAATATTCTGGAACCAAGGAAGGACACCAAAGGTACTGGTGAAGGTGAGGATGAACCTCAGTCAAAAAATATACATTTAGAGAAAGAAAAACTACAACAGCATGTAAGGAATAACATTTCTAACGTCTTGTGTGGTTAGATGCATCAAGTAAGTGTGCTCCCCTGGTGAGGTTACTGGAGTCGAACGCCGTGCCTGGTTCCCGGTAGGTGAGTCCTCCCTGTTTGATGGATGACGTCATGCGCGGTGATGTCATGAGCGGTGACGTCATGAGCGGGGACTGGTGGGTTTGGGCAGAGCCAAGCGAAGAGCAGAGAGCACAGGACGCCCACACGCCTGATCAGTGTCCAGGGCTTTCTCCTCGGGAACCCTCACAACCCCATGGGGAAGAGCCCTAGATTGCCCTTCAGAGCCACAGGAACCAGCTCTGAGAGGGCAAGGCCCTTGCCACACTGGTACCCACCTCGGGACCCAGAACCCACCAGACTCTTGCTCACTGGCCCCCTCTGCAGGGCTATCGTGGGATTATCCCACAGCTGGGCAGACTGCGCCGGGGCAAGAGGCCACCTGCCTGCCTTCTTGCTTCACCACCTTCTTCTAGGTTCCCCTGTTGACATTTTATGAGCTCAGGCCTGAGCTCTCCTCTCTTCCTGCCCTACACTCTCTCCCCAGGTGGACCAATGGGTCTCAGCTCCAAGTCCCATTCAGCAGCCATGTGTACACCTCCAGCCTCGGTCACTTATTGGAGCTCCACAGGTGGGCATCTCAACACCACTCCACATTCCCTCTGATGGCCAGGGTGCCCCTTCTCCTACCTGCATCGGTGTCCTTCTGTCCCCCAAAATGACACTCTTCTCCAACTGTTAATAAAACCACAAATTTGGGACTCACACTGTCACCTCTCAAATCCAACGTAACTCCTCCAAAATGTCTTTAAAATCTGCCTGTTTTCCTCCGTCTCCACTGTGACTATCTCATCCCAGCCACATGCACACTCCTGTCCTGCCATCTTCTACCTTGAYAATGACAAGGGCCTCTCTTACTGGTCTCCTGTGGCTCTTTTTTTGTCCCTCTATTCCCTTCCTGTAGTCAGAGTGGTCTTTAAAAAGATGAACATCTCACAATGTTACTCCCATTCTTGAAATGCTRATGGCTCTCCCTGCATTCAGGATCAAATTTCTAGCTCCAAATATAACTCTGTATGTCCTCCATGGCTGACCCATTACCTCTATAATCACAGTGACCATTCCTGGCTCCAGGCCCTTACATATGTGTCCCCTCTGCAGTACTGCTCTCTGCCTGCCCCACACTCTCCCTTCATCTGATTCATTGCTGCTCATCCCTCACCAAGAGGTTGGTTTCAATGTCAGAAAGAAATCATGAAAGCAATCCCATTTATAATAGCCTAAAAAATAAACTAGTCATGAATCTAATCAAAGAGATGAAAGACTTCTACAATGAAAATCACAGAAAATTAAAGAAAAAAGATTGAAGATACAAGAAGATGGAAARACCTCCCATGTTCATGGATAGGCAGAATTAGTATTGTTAAAATGGCCATATTATCCAAAGCCACTTACAGATTCAATGCAGTCCTCATCAAAACACCTACAACATTCTTCACAGAACTAGGAAAAACAGTCCTAAAATTCATTTGGAAGGATAAAAGACCCAGAATAGCCAAAGCAATTCTAAGCCAAAGAAACAATGCTGGAGGCATCACACTATGACTTCAAATTATTACTAGTGAGCTACAGCAATAAAAAGTGCATGGTACGGGCATAAAAACAGACACACAGACCAATGGTACAGAATAGAGGACAGAGACAAACCCACACATCTACATACACTGGAGAAAAAGCAGCCTCTTTAACAAATGGTACTGGGAAAACTGTTTATCCATATGTTCAAGAATGAAACTGGATCCCTATCTTAAGCCTTGCATGCAAATCAACTCAAAATGGATCAAAAACCTTGGCATTGGGCCAGAAACTATCCAACTCCTAGAAGAAAACATAGGGTCAACACTCCAGCATATAGGCACTGCAGTGCACCAACTTTCTCAGTAGGGCCTCCGAAGCTCAGGAAATAATGCCAAGAGTTAATAAATGGATGGCGTCAGATTGAAAAGGTTCTGTATGGCAAAGGAAACAAGTGGGAGTGTGATGAGAGAACCTTCAGAGTGGGAGAAAAATCTTTGCTAGCTACTCTTCTGACAGAGGCGTAATATCAAGAATATATAAAGAACTCAAAAACCAACACCAAATAACCAAATAACCCAGCCTGAAAAAATGGGCTAATGAATTAAACAGATACTTCTCCAAAGAAGACACACAAATGGTCAACAAATATATGAAAAAATGTTCAATATCATTAGCAATTAGGGAAATGCAAATCAAAACTCCACTGAAATCTCATCTCATACCAGCCAGAATGGCAGTCATCAACAATACAAATAATAATAAATGCTGGAGAGGATGTGGAGAAAGGATCACTTTTTACACTGTTGGTGGAATTGTCTGTTGGTATAACCAYCATGGAAATCAGTATGGAAGCTCCGCAGAACACTAGGCATGGAACCACCATACGACCCAGCTATTCTGCTCCTCAATATTACACTAAAGAATTAAAATCATCGTGCTATAGCAATATGCGAATACCCATGTTTATAGCAGCACAATTCACAACAGCCAAACTAGGGAACCAGGCTGGGTGTCCACCGATAGATGAATGGATAAAGAAAATGTGGTCTATATACACAATGGAGTTTTATTCAGCCATAAAGAAAAATGAAATTATGTCATTTGCTGGAACATGGATGGGACTTGAGACCATTATATGAAGCAAAATAAGCCAAACTCAGAAGGTCAAGGGTCATRTGTTTCCTCTCATATGTGGAAGCTAGAGAGGAAAAAGGAAAAGGAAGGCGGGCGGTTATTGCATGAAAAGCAAAGGGAGATCAGTAGCATAGAGAAAAGGGACCAGCGGGTGGGAGGAGGGGAAGGAGGGCAAAGTGCCAAGGGGAATACTGGGCGAGTCATATTGTGGCATGTACGATGTGCCATCACAAATCCCACCAGCCATAATGCACCAATTAAAACAATCGAAAGTAAAAACAGAATTAAAAAAATAAAAGAGGTTGGTTGAACTGTCTTCCCTGATACTCTAGAGTAGGTCAGACCCYATACGGCACCCCAAGATTTCCCAGGATTTCTCCCTGGAAGTGCTCGTCAAACTTGTAGTTCACTGACTTCTGATGAACCTGTTTGTCACGAAATGTGACTTCTGCTTGCTGTACCCCATGCTGAGGCCAGAACCCAGGGTAAAGTCTGGCACCAAGATGAGCTCAAAGGCAATTCATTGATGAGAAGGCAAGGCCAAGGGCTGACCTTCAGGACCGCCCGGGGCAGGGGGACTGTGGTCTCTATCACACAGGAGGCAGGGCTGGGTGGTGGTTAGAGCCGTCTGAATCCCTGCTCTGGCACTTACTACCTGTGTGATCCGGGGCACATAACTCACCCTCCCTTTGCCTGGGTTTCCTCATCTGTGAAAAAGAGGGTAAGGACAGTAGTACCTAGAGGGTTGTTGCAAAGAGTGAGCAAA